AAAGTGAGAATGGTATTGAATGCACAGTGGCTGGGAACTAACAAATTTCAGTGTCTTTCTCCAGCTACATACAGGTAGGTGGATTTGTGTATTGCTTTAAAAGGAGGTGTCATCTGCCCCAGCTTATATTTTCTGACTTGGTTGGGCACATGTCAGTTTTGTTATCACCATCCCAAAGCTGTGTATTGCATGATGTTATATAACCAAATTTGGTACATACTGAAAAAAGCCATAGTTATTTGGTTGTAGAAATGTGCTGTCACAGGTCACAGTGCAAGAGAAGGAGATATGGACTAAGCCCTTGTTTCCAGAGCAGCAAAGATACCTGCTTAGCAGAAACTCCATCAGCCCCCAGAAGGGAGAAATGCTCTATGACCTGTGCAAGCAGGCCCCAGAAGGACCCCGTGAAAGGGAAGAAGGAAACAGAGCTTTTCTAGTAAAGGAAGGGATGACAGAAATTTTTGAGATGGCATCAGGAGCAATGTGGAAAAAGAACCCTAGCAAGTTGTATTTATTAAAGAAACTATAGTCTCGCAGGATGTACAATTTTTAGGGGCCGACCCAAGCTAACTGTTTCTGGCAGCCAACAGCTATCTAACCAAAGGAGTAGCTGCTCACCTCACCAGGATTATGCTTCAAATAGCCCTGAAAACTGATTCTGTGTGTCTTTTTCAAATGAAAACAAAATTCCTCAACAAATATACTTCCTTAGTTTAGGTATTAGCCAGTAGTACTTAGTCTGAAAAGGCCAATGGTGGATTCCTGATCCAGGCTTAAGGATCCTGTGACATCACTCAGAAACTGCAAGTGTTACAGGAAGCAGCACAGCTGCTGTGTGTGGGATTTTCCAAGTGCCTGTGGTTTCCCAACCACAGCACTGGACACAAAGTGCCAAAGGCCCCTGGGATGAAGCATGGCACCCACCCCCTGGGACACTCTCGGCACTGCAGTGCTGCTGTATGGTGCTGCTCTGCCATGCTGCAGCGTGCTTTGTATGGAAAGCATGCTGATTTGACTGCTATTGTAAACACCCTACAGTCACAGCAAAACACAGCCATTTTCAGCTGTGCAGAGACAACTTGTGTGTATTATGGTGGTGACTCTACCCTGGGTAAAGGTGAAGTTACTGACACCCAATGGACTCATTCATTGCTAGATCTGTGCCCTTCATTTAAAGCCAGCAACACTCTTCAGGTTGGAATTTTCCAAATATAACTTTGACAACCCAGTTCCAAGAGCCCAGGGGAAGAGACATGACTACTTTGCTAATTGATGCTGATGCACCAGGGAGGCTCGGCACTGTCTACAGCAGAGCTCTCCCTTAAAGTGAACTAGGTCAGTTGGATGGCAATTGTACCAAGTCAAAAAGCAATTCTCACAAGCAGCTCCTCTTTCTCTAAATTATTACATATCCACAACATTACTACTAGAGTGGGAAAACAATGTATTCAAACTGGGGGGACCAGCACAGAAACATGTGTGAATTCAATTACATCTGCCTGTGGACATGTCTTGCATCATTTCAAACGCTGTGGATCTAGCTCATAATCTAGTTTGCCCTCTTGCATAATCCAAGACATATATTTCTCTCTGGTAGGGGACTGAACATACTGTGCTCAAAAACTTGTATTTTTAATAAAAGTACAGCTAGTACTTGGCTAATACATACATTTCAGAAAGACATTCAGTTTTCTTCTGATGGCCTTGAGGAGATTCAGAATTTACCACTTGTCACATTACATCCTCAATTGCATAAACCCAGTCTTAAGTTCTCCATGGGGACAGTGTCTCATTCAGAACACAGGACAAAACCACTTAGCTAGCAGCCATTCAATATTTTATTTTCGCCCTTTTTATTTGATGTATAGCCCTAAAAGCCTTGTTTACTGCACATTATTCCAGCTCTATTCTGAAGGCAGAATGATTAATTTCTTTACAGACATTTCTATACTGCTCATCAGATGCTTCTAACTTGTTATGTGCAATTTCCTAGCTTTTGGAAAAGCACATAAAGGAACGCCATTATGTGGCACCATATAACTACTGCCATGATTCATATCAGCAGGGATAGACCAGACCTCTGCTATCTTAGCTAACAGGTGTGAACCACAGTCTGCAGCAGGGCCAAGTTAAAGGAGGTGAGGTACATCTTAAGCAAGTGATTTTCGCTGATATTTGCTGGCACCAGGATGGGAAGATTCAGAATCTCAAGGAGACTGAAGGGCATGAAAAGGAAGTACTCTTACAGGTTCCTGCCCCTTTGTCATTCTCCTAAGACTGACCTCTTTAATTCACTCTTTCCAGCATGCCCACCCCTCCATCCATGTGTCTTCTTATTTATCGAGTCCTATCTGGCATTATCTATCTAACCCTATTTTCTATCTATCTGTATTTCACTCACTTTTTCATTTCCTCTTCCCTACTTGCTTACTGTCTTTTTCAGCTCTTCTGAATTTTACATCCATCCCTTGACTAAAACATCATCATGGAATACTCTGAACTGGAAGGGACCCACAAGAATCACCAAGACCGTCTCTTGGTCTCACACAAGGCAGCCCCAAGAGTCACACCATGTGTCTGAGAGCATTGTCCAATTGCTTCCTGAACTCTGGCAGGCTCAGTGCTGTGACCACTTCTCTGGATGCCATTCCAGGGCCCCATCATCCTCTGGGTGAAGAATCTTTCCCTTATATCCAGCCTAACCCTCCCTGACACAACTTCAGGCCATTCCCTCAGGTCCTGTCACTGTCACCACAGAGAGAGATCAGTGCCTGCCCCTCCTCTGGCTCTCATGAGGAAGTTGTAAATGCTGTCCCCAGTCTCCTCTTCTCCAGGCTGAACAGACCAAGTGACCTCAGCTGCTCCTCATATGGCTTCCCTTCAAGACCTTCCTTGTTTTGGCTGCCCTCCTTTGGACACTCTCTAAGAGTTTAATTCCCTTCTAACACTGGGGCACCCCAAACTGCCCCCAGCACTGGAGGTGAGGCTGCCCCAGCCCAGAGCAGAGCAGGACAATCCCCTCCCTTGCCCAGCTGTGATGCTGTCCCTGATGCCCCCCAGGACAGGGTTGGCCCTCCTGGCTGCCAGGGCCCTGCTGGCTCAGGTTCACCTCATCACTGAGCAGGAGCTCAGGTCCCTTTCTGTGAAGCAGCTTTCCAGCCCCTCATGCCCCATGCTGCACGTACACCCAGGGTGGCCCTGGGACAGGGGCCCTCATGAACCCATGCTGGCTGTGCCCAATGATGGCACTGCCTTTCAGGTGTTTTTCAACACCTCCTGGAATAATGTCTATCATTTTACCAGTCACTGAAGTGAGACTGGTAACTACAGACAGGCCTGTAGTTACAAGAGTCATTCTCTTGCCCTTGAAAATTACTGGAGTTTAAGGGGAACAAGCATTCACAGACTCCTTAAAACTTTCAGAAATACTTACCTACTAAGCATATGTGTGTTTTTTAAAGGTTATAACTTGGATAACCTAGGAAAGATTACGGTAAAAAGCACATTCATATGTTACCCAATCCTTACAAAACCCAGAGATAACATGGCACCATAAAGAAGATATTGCAGAAGCTTTTAAGGCCTCCTCTTTAGCCTCCTTTTCAGAAACAGCAAAGCCATGTATGAATGACATTTTCTGAAATAAATTGAGCCAGAACATCTAAGATATGCACCTTGGAAACTTTTATTCCAAGCTACTATAGTTTCAGAAAATTGCAAGCAACTGAAATGTGAAGACTCAGAATGGGGTTATGTCCATAAAATAAAAATGAGAGCTATTAGTATCATGTTGGCACCTAATTTGATGGCTTCTCTGGTATCAACAACTTCTCTTAGATTATGACAGAGCAAGGAACATCATTCCATCTAGCTTGGTTTTTACTGAGTGAATTTGTGAAGGCTGTATCACAACAACAAAGTTATATTATTGCCCCGTATAAGCCTGACATGTGTACAGCAGCCTTGTAATGTTCTCCTGACATGCACCAGCTATTCATTTGCTATTTTTGTACTGAACATTTATTATTATCAAATACCTTGCCCTTTTCCTGTAGGTTCTACTATTTTTGTTAATTGTAACTTCACTTAACATTTGATGTCTTGTACACTGATACCCCTTCAGTTTTAGAGTTGCCAGCAAACCTCATCAGGACCAAATTTATGCCAGGAGATACAAATATGCTAGCAAAGACACTAAGCAGTCAAATGGATATAGAATTCCTGTAAAAATTAGGTTAGTCAAGACAAACTTCTAAAATTACTGAGAGAGACCTGGTAAGGGCTACAGTTAACAAGACACAGCATTGATGAAACATGATTAACTGCTCTGATTTCACACTAGAACTGGCTTTTGGTCTTCCACAAAGCTCCCTGTATAATTATTATTGTTATTAAGCTCTAGGCCCAGTGTCTGGAAAACAGTTTTGGGCTTGGTGCCACAGAGAAAAAGAATACTTGCTGGGTAGGAGTGTTACCAAAAAAAACCCCACAAGTGTGGAGTCCCTGCCCCTACACAAGGCTGGAACTAAGCTGCAGCTTATAACAGTAACAGATTCATTTTATTGTAAACTCATAGTTTATCTTGATTTTAACAGACAAAAGAAACCAGCCCAAGTTTTACAAATCCTATATCTATCTATCCATCCATCTATCCATCTTTAGTGATTTAGTTCTTTAGATCCTTCTAACATCAGTGTACTGCTTATTTAAAATGCAAAACAGTTAGTAGGAAAAGCAGCAAAGACAATGTAAGTTGACTCCCAAAAGTATCAGCCTTTGTCAATTAAAAGATTTACTTTTGACACAAGTCCTAATTAGTTAAAAATTCAATCCAGTCTTAAAATAGAGGTTCAAACTACCCAATTTATTCTTGGAACGGTCACTTGCTCTCAGGATGAGGAAGACAATGGCATCCAGAGCAAGCATAAGCCCTCTCCCCTTTTATTACAGTTAATCAGGAACATAAATACTATAATGGAGCTGAGCCCCTGCAAACTCACCAGGCTGTGCATAATTTCCACTCCAGCTGGATTCACGGTGAGCGCTTCATCATACAATTGCTTAGCCTCCTCCAAATTGCCTTTCATCTCTGCAAGCCTCCCACGCATGTACAGTACAGCATGAGATGTGGGGAAAAGACTAGCTGCCTCCTGGGTACAAAAGCCTGCTTCTTTGAGATGCTGCTGTTCCAGGAAGAGTTCAGCTGAAGGAAAAACAAAACACCAAGCCATAAAAATAAAGCAAAGAACACCCTGCCATTAGATGAAATGAAGCAGAGACCTTTCTTCATATTAATTATATATCATCTGACTTAAGCATATTAAAACACGAGGCCATGATCCTGCACAATGCTTAGTACTATGGTTAGTGCTTATTATCATGACTGGATCCACTGAATGTATCTTCTCCTAATGCTAAGGGAACTATACAGATGTTCATGGACACCTTTGGGTGGTGTCCTGACAAAGGCCTTAAGGATTCCTCCATTGGGAAGGTAAATAGTGCTGAACTGAGCCCTAAGGAGGCTACTTGGAGTCATCAGAGGTATTTCCAAATAATCTGGTGGAGAAAAAAGAAGAGAGTAAGCTATCACTGTCTACTGAGAGCTTCAAAAATGTCAGAGTAATAGGACACATCTGAGCTGGACACTAGATAATTTATTTAGGAGATTGCTTTCCCATTTAAAAAGATGACTAAGTGTTTTTCTCTTCTTATTTGGCAAATTTATGAGACAACTGTCTCAATTTTTCAGACTGTTAAAATCAAAAAGCTCTTGTAATATAGACTTATTTATATTGTGTATTCACCCATTTACATCCTCATACATTACAGAAAAAACAAAATACAGCTCTTGGAAGAGACTGCTCACTTTCTTGAACTATCAGTAACTATCTTAGTGGTTTGCTTAGAAAAAAAGATGTAACAGGCATATTTACGTGTTTGAATATCAACTTGTTATTAAAATAATGTCTCATGATAAATTTCATAACATATCTCATGGTTGAACTTTAACATTTCTCAGAATTTGGACTAGATAATTGTGGTGTTGGACTGGATAATTGTTGTAGATCCCTTCCAACTGAAATATTCTAATTCTTTCAAAAGGTCAAAAAGTGATACTCAGTTTTCACTGCCACATGTAATTGAAAAGGGAAACTGTTTTTAAATATATATACATATACACACACATGTAGGCATGTATGTAGATAAAATAATTCTCTTCATACAGGCAGACATTGCTCTTTGGCCCATAACCTGTGTTCTACATGCTCTCACTGCAAAAACTCAGTGTCTCTCTCATTTTTTTTTAACTGATGTCATGCAGTAAGTATTGACAGTTCAAGAGTCCAATTCAAAATTACTAATTCAGGCTCTAAATTTAGAATAACAATTCTGAAATTAGACACAACCTTAAATGTCCTGACTTTTTATGGCAGTGAATATACTTAGGAAGTGTCTGTGAGGGGGGAAATTAGAGTGAAAATTCCTCTTGAATATCTTTGAAACTCTGCAATTTTGAAGCACTGGGAGACCCAGATGACTGTGGGGACTTGGCTTGGTGACATGGAGCCTGCTAGAGGTGAGCAGGGAAGCATCTCAAAGGCAGTCCCCTGCCTGACCACAGGAAGGCTCCACCTTGGCCTATGAGACTGGGATCATAAGTGCATTTCTACTGGCACACCAAAAATGACACTGTAGTGAAATGATAGCATGGCTGAACACCCTTCTGCTTCTGAGGTGACCTTTCCAGAAGAAGGGTGAGACATTGTTGAGAAAATGCTTGAATATTTCTCAGCCATCCCTAGGTTGTGGTACAAGATAAATGTCATTCTCCAAGGCTGTCAACATGAGCAAAATATTAGTTCCTTCAGAAGAGTTATACTCTTTCAGAATGACTCATACACATTTCTTCCTGGTTGATCATAAAATCTCTGCATGCATCCCTTCCCTTGGCTCCAAGAGGCTGCAGCTATCTATAATAACAGAAGGCAAGGCCATGTACCTTGTCAAGCTGAATATGTGCACAGCCTTATGCAAAAATTGGTGGGAGGACAGTATTTTCCTTGCACTTCCAAGGAACAGAGTGTTTTCCTGCCAAGTGCTGCATAGCAGCTGACGCCATGCATGTGGCATTAATGAGCCTGGGGATGTGCAAAGTGACACTTCACAGCCTGAAGATGAACACTCCATCCCCAAAGTTTGCACAAACTTAGCAGCACAAAAGAAGGGGTGAAATCCTGACACTGTTTGAAGTCAGCAGAAGTTCTGGATACTGCCATACTTAAAGCTCTATTAGCAACTAAGAGCATCATGTGATTTGTTTCATTTCAGACGGGAACTGGGAGCAAATGGGTTTAGATGTGAAATCATGCACGGTGCTTCAATGCATGCAAAATAGAGAGTATTTATTCTTTCTCTGGTGCCTCTAAGTCTTCTTCAGTAATAACAATTATTTAGAGGAAGTACAGCAACACAGAATCTAAATAAGAACTACAAATTGTACTTTATGGTATAGTAATGTAGTGTATTAAAGTTCAGTCCATTTCTTTGCTGGCTCAATAGTCAATAAAAATGATTTAATGGTGTGGGAGTCCTAATTTGCATAAAAAAGAATGAGAGGGGTGCCTTTCGGTTATGAAAGGAAAGGAGTGCTAAAATTTTTAGCTACCCAGCTAAAAATAGACATTAAAGGACATCATTTAGGTCTGCATTAAAATGTGTTTTCTGTAAACTCATTTTTCACTTCTATTACACACTCATTTTATTTACAGATTAACAAGATATGCTTATGTAACATGGAATAAAAACACAGCTAGAGGCAGAAATCAAACTCAAAAAACAAGGACCTATTAAATTTACCATGGTAAAGCCCTCAGTGGTACTCAAAGTACTGAAACACCTGCTTTCATGTTACCTGGGTTAGCAGCTTCCTGTCCATTGGATTAATCAGCCTATCTCCTTATATGAGCTAATTTTGCTGTAAATAACATCTAACCAAATTTGCAGCCCTTGTGAGGAAGTTCTGTTATAGAGACTTGGCATCCAGTTCCACTTCAAAGCAGAGAATACCTTCTCATGCTGACACAGGTATCTAGTATCTATAATTCTTATCCTGTGAAAGGGTCAATGCTTCAGGGAAACCATTTATGAACCTCTCATTATTGTACTAGATTGTTCTTGGTACTGACTTTCTTCAGAGCTTTGAATCTAAAACCAAGCTTCCTTGCTCTCTCTCACTTAACACCATCTCCATAAAAACTTCAATAAATTTACATTCTGTTTTGACCTAAAAGCTCTCTGAATGCTACTGAGCAGAGAGATGATGATCCTGGCATGTACCACTCATCTATTATTGTCTCTGGACAAGAACGACATTAGGGAGTATTTCAGCACTCTCACCTACAGGAAAGAGACAGTGCACTGCATGGATGGGCCAAGACAGGTTGAATCTCTCCTTGCATTCAGTTTTTGAAGCCTGTGCCTGCCCTGAGACCACAGCTGACTTCAAGGCTCCCCCTAGCACAATTCATTCCTTTCTCAGATCCATTCTTTGTTTCCCATTTGTCCTCTCTTGCAATACTGTCTGAACTATTCTGCTGTTCTTCCAAACAACTGCTGTCTTGTGGCTATGGCCTCTTCTGTCTGGACTTATGCACCCATTTTAATGCTGGGCCCAGTCCCTGAGAGCAGCATGCCTCAGCAGCACTGAGAATATTATTAACTTCTATTACAACCCCCTAGTTCTTTCAGCTATTTCTGCTAGCATTTAAGCTCATCTACAGTGAAGATCCTTAATCAAGTGAAAATTGCCAGAAGCATATCATCTACTTGCTCTCCAAAGACCCCTAACAAATGCACAAACCAAGAGCAATACCCAGAACACTGACAAAGCTGGGTGTCCTACAGTCAGCACCTTTATTTTCTCCAAGATAAAATTTTTTGCAGAGCTCTGTTAGGAAGTCCATCAGGGGTATAACAACAGTATAATCCAGTCATGTCTGCATCACACTGTTGTCTGAGAAACAGAGCTGCTCAACATCACCTTAAACACTGACTCTATTCCCCATTTCAAAGCAGTGTCAAGACTGATAGTGCTTGTCACTGCAGCAACTATTTTAATTCTAGCCTAAAGAAATCAAACAGATTTGAAATGTTTTTTCTGCAATGTGAAAGAGTTAAAATTTCATTACTTGTGAATCCCATTTGGTGTTATCCAAGAGGCAGCACTTAACTCCCACAAAGTAGACTGCTCCACATCCCTTGTTGTGTGTGCCTGATGCATCTAGAGCACTCTACTCTTGTCCACCCCAAAAATGTTACTGCAGAGTGACATGGCCAGGGTAACAGCCAAATGCCCAGCAGGATGGTACAGTGCAGAGCAGCCCTTCACACTCAAGAAGGTGAGAGCGTCTGTGAGGGTGTTGGAAGGTGATTTCTGTTCCACATCATCTGCCTTCAGGAGTTATTAATGCTTGTTACTGCAGGAGCCCTTAGCCAGCTGGAAAGACCCACTCTGAGACAGCTCTGCCATCAGCAGTGACTGCTGAGCTATTATCATGACAAAGGGTCCCCCCACTGCCTTTCCTTGCTGGCAGGTGAGGTTTAGTCATTGTTCCATGCTCTGACACCACCCTGCATGCAGTAGCTTGACAATTCATGGCAGATTAGACAGAAGATTCCTCCAGGCATATCCTCACTACAATAATTCCATTTGATGCAAACGTTTGATACAGAAATGAAGCACAGAAACTGCTGCATGTTCCCATACACCTGAGCTCAGCCACTTGCTCTTTTGAATGAGGGAACAGATTTACACCCTTTCTTTGCCTGCAAAGTGAACTCCAGGGACTGGCTTCAAATTTCCAAGCTTCAGGTCACAGGGCCTGAAATGACCACCAAGCTTCTTTATTTACAAATGCAGCATCAGAGTGAAGGTTTATAGAAGCAGCACATAAGTGCCACAAGCTACCTTCTACACTAAATGGTGCAATCAAAACATGACTAACAGCCCAGTCAAGTATAAATTCCTATTTTCTGTCTCTGGTATGAACAAATGTCCTGCCTCCTTCTTCAGGACCGTGTACATTTTATCATTGGTCCAAACTTACTGAGCAGCTGAGGAAATGCTACTTTTCGGTACCCTCAGTCATTCTCTGGCAGTGCAACAGGTTTCTCTCCATCTCTTGGCAAATTTTCTACAGA